AGGAGCTGATGGGGGAAGGGGCTGAAGGCGGAATAGGTTGGGATCAGGAAGAGCCTGAAGGGGGAAGGGTCTGAAGGGGAAGGGGCTGGCAGCAGGAAGGGGCTGAATGGGGAAGGGGCTGAAGGTGGAACGGGCTGGGAGCGGGAAGGAGCTGAAGGGGGAACGGGCTGAGAGCAGGAAGAGGCTGAAGATGAAGGGGCTAGCAGCAGGAAGGCAGCCCTACTTCCTCCCCTGCCCACAGCAGCAGCCATGTTCCAGCACTGCGCTCAGGAAGGTGTCTTGGGGGAATGGAGAAAGGGTTTTTTTCTAAGCCCAGGAGTTCCCCACTGGCCCCTGGAGTTGCTGTTCCCAAGGGCTGCTGCTGGGCTGCTGTGCCACTGGCTGCTGGAGCTGGATGTGCTGAGCTGAGGCATGTTCTCAAGGSCTACAGATTGCAGAAGTGATGAAGATTGGTTTCTTTTACTTGGACCCTCATTCAGGGAAAGGCCTAGGAAGTATTCTCCAGTCCTGGAACTATACAGCTGCTTGGTGATGCTGCTCTTGCCTCAAATGGCCTGAAAATTGCGGCTTAATCTCTTCTTAGCTGGTGAGGGAATCGTTGTATGTGCTGAAGATGGAGTGTTTTCAGTCACGCACAAGCCAGTATAAGAATGGCTGTCCTGGTACTTTGTGTCTGGTCCTTAACCATCTGGCACAGGGAACATGATGGCTGCACTGCAGGCGGCTCTGAAGAACCCTCCCATCAACACCAAGAACCAGGCAGTGAAGGTAAAATAAGTGACACTCACTTGTGGGTTACTCCCTAAAAGTCCTTTCCGGTGTCTGTCACCGCTATGCCAACAGTCGTACCTTGAGGAGGCCAGAGAAGCAGGTTTTAGKGTACTCCCTGATGTAAAAACATCCGTGACCACAAAATTCTGTTCAAAATTCTGTAGCTCAGGTGGCACCGGTTCGGGTACCTTTACCTTGGTGCTGGATCAGGTGTGGTTCTCCTGCCAGTGCTGGTTGTGCTCAGGTGCCACTTCAGCAGCTGGGGACTTGGTGTTTTTTGCCATCTGTGATCTCAGTTTCGTATCAAAAAGCAGATGGATCTGTGCCATCCTCAGAGCAGGTGTGAGCCGTGGGAAACACTTCAGAATGAGGAGTTTCACTGAATTATTCCTTTGGCATTTTTACGTGCCAGATATGGCAGCTTGCAGGAGTAATCATTGGTTGTTCAGGGAGCCATGGTTGCAGTTGTCATCTCTGACTAATGAAACCACCAGCAGTGAGCCTACATAAAAGGAAGAATTGGTTTTCACCACATCCAATCAAAGTGGAGCTGTTAAAACCTCAGGAAGAGAGAGCCCTCCCCCTGTGAGAGGATGTGGGAGTGTGCTGGGTGTATTTGGTTCTGAATCGCCCCAGGATGAACTCAGCGTGGCTCATGCTTGCCGTGGTGGGAGGAACAGGCTGATAAGATGTGGCACTGCCCAGCTGAGTGCCTGCAGTCACTTCTCCCTGCCTGAGCAGAGGCCTAGGGACACAGTTCCTTACTGCTTTCTCCCCTGGCAGAGCTGCTCCTGCAGCCCAAGCCCTTTCCTGAAGGGTTTCACAGGGCTCTGACACCCAGCTGTTCCAAGGAAATTAATTTGTCCTCAAATTAATGACTTTTCTTTAGCCTTGCATTGAGGGATTTGAGAATACTGGCAGTGGAATTAAAGAGGGCAGAATGACTTTACATTAATACCTGCCWTCGTTTTTAGTTGCCTTTGGACCTTTATATTTTTATTTACAGTCATGTGAGAARTCTTGCTAAGCTAAGTGATTATGGGGTATTAAATTGGGCAGGAAAGTGACATCCATAGTTTCTGCAGGGGAAGCTGCCTGAAGTGTTTGTGTGATGGAATCACAAAAAGTTCCAGCAACCCTGAGACCTTTTTCTCATCCTTCCTCATGTAGTGATGGATGAACAGGAAGAGCTGCTCCTTGCTGATTACGTGGCTAATTGTGCTGTGAGCATGCCACATGCATTCTCAGGCCTGAAATGACATCCAGATCAGTGGTTACTAATGCACAGTGTKAATGCTGCCAGTCTGCATTCAGTGTGCCTGGGACAGCAGCTGACTGCTTGGAAAAYACCCGTAGCTTCCAGCAGTCACCTCTTCCAGGCTGCCAGTGGCATTTCCAGGGATTATAAAGGTTGTGTAACATTTAACAGTACCGAGGCACAGAAAAGGCTCTGGTGCYAAGGGGAGCCAGACAAGCACTTGATTGTTACAATTATTTTAGAACTTGCTAGATCTTGAACTTCCATTTGAACATTTATTATTTAGCCACGACTTCATCTAAGAGTTGGAGAATTGCAAACACTAACAGAGGCAGAAAAACTAAAGCAGARCAAATGTGTTAAACTTCTTTACGCTGTTTATCCTTGGAAGGACGTGTTTGTTATGTCTTACTATGATAAGCTCTTCACACACTGTGGTCTTCAGAGCTGTTAAAGAGAAAAATGCTCTAATTTAGTTTGAGATGAGAGCACAGTTGGGCTGCACCTCACACGAGGGTGGCTGTGTCTGTGCCTGCCTGTTGACAGGACCGTGCCGAGAGCATCGTGCTGAAGGTCCTCATCTCCTTCAAAGCCAACGACATTGAGAAGGCAGTGCAGTCGCTGGACAAGAACGGGGTGGACCTGCTCATGAAGTACATCTACAAGGGCTTTGAGAGCCCCTCGGACAACAGCAGTGCTGTGCTGCTGCAGTGGCACGAGAAGGTGCGTGCGTGGYGACAGCTCCTGCCGGGTGCTGCAGTCCTGAGCCTGGCAAGACCCCCCTTCCTGCCTGCYGAGACTCCAGAGCTAGATCTCAGGCTGTGACCAAGGTACAGCCCTGGAGCTCACAGCTGAGTTACATCCCCTGCTGCTTCCTTGGGTAMAGACCCAACAGTTAAAATTCGGGTTTCCCCTTGACTGATGCAAACAAAATGGTTTCATCCAGTGATTCAAGAGAAGGAGAATTTCCTTCCTAGAGGAAACAAAATTTGCAGCTTGGTTATGCAGSGAAATGAAAGCTTAATTGAATTTAAATAGCTTTCTGGAAATTGAATGTGATTATCATACCCTGGCACCCTGGCTGCAGGTGTTTTGTGGAGGGCAGGGAGATGCTCATTTGAAATATAGTTGTGAKCTGAGTAATTTCATAGAGTCCCAGAATGGTTTGGGTTGGAAGGATCTTAAAGCTCATCTCATTCCACCCCTGCCAAGGCCAGGAACACTACCCACTATCCCAGGGTGCTCCCAGCTCCATCCAGCCTGGCCTTGGGCACTGCCAGGAATCCAGGGGTAGCCACAGCTTCTCTGGGCAYCCTRTGCCAGTGCCTCCCTACCCTCACGGGGAAGGATTTCTTCCTACTCCCTGTAGCCCTTCCCCTTGTCCTGTCRCTCCAGGCTCTTATCCAGAGCCCCTCCCCACCGTTCTTGGCACCCTGTTCAGGTCCTGGAAGGGTGCTCCGGGCTGAAGCTGCCCCAGCCTGCCATTCATTGCCGTGTTTCCCTCCCCAGGCGCTGGCTGCCGGCGGAGTTGGCTCCATCGTGCGCGTTCTGACGGCCAGGAAGACGGTGTAGCTGCGGCAGGGAGTGAGGGCGCGACTCCAGCAGGGAGCCGCCAGCACAGGCCCTGCCCGGCCCAGCCCCCGAGCTTTGCCTTTGCCCTGCCGCTTCTGTTGTACCCCACCCATGATACGCGTCGTGATCTCTTCTGTGGTTCACTTCTGGAAAATTATGAAGGTGCAATTTTACTTCTAACAGGAATATTTGGTACTTGCCAGCCTTTCAGTGATATGTTCAGTGATGTAAATGATTTGGTGTTTAGGGTGATTTGCATTTGTGTGTAATCGTGGCAGATTTGGGCCTGACTCTCTGAGCAAATGCGGAGGGACACAGGGCAATGTCTTAATTCTTTTCGCTAGCCAAGCAGTGTTTTGAGCTGAAATCTTGATATYTGAGAAGTGGGGCAGCTATTATTAACACAGGTAACTGGACCATGTTGCCTTCGGTCAACCTCTGACCCTACATCCATGAACAGGAGAGAACAAACCTCTTTTTCAACCCCAATTATCATTCCAGAGAGCTGGGTATTTTCCTTGACCTGCTCAGGTTSCTTGCAGTCAGTCAGATGCTGGGTCCATAGCGGAAGGGTCACTGTGGGATGAAGTTGTCAATCATGCCCRTGTGGAAGGTGGTATTTAAAGTGTTAATGGTTCATTTACACTGGAGCCCAGCCCAGTGAATTCTTCCTATATTTGGGGAGCAAAGATCCTGAGGAGAAGAAGAAGCAGCTTTTAAAAAGCAAAATCACCTTTCAGCAACTGGAAAGTGATTTCATTTTGTCAAGCACAACTAAATGGCTGCTTGGGGTAGTCTGAGAAACATATCCTGGTATCCACACCTTGGATRCCTCAGCCTTGCAGAGCTCCCTTGTTTTGTTTTCTGGGTGTGTAGGGTCTGTAGGGATACCACACAGCTCACATTCCTGTTGCATTGTGCCTCATCATGTTAGCTAGTGGGCCAATCAGGTTCCCAAAGAAAGAGCATTTTAAAGAATTAGGAAAGCCCAGGGCAGCCCAGACCACAGATCACCGTAGAAGGTTTAGGGCTAGGACTGAAATACATGTGTTTTAATTTCACTATTTTACTACAGTTCAGTTGTGCAAAACTGYTGGGGACCTTGTGAAATCTTTGCTGTTTTTTTGATATCTGCTTTGTTTTTGTAATAATAATAAAGACCAGACAATAAATCGTCACTGAATATTTACTCGGTGTCTGACATGCCTTCAATGCAGACAGGAACCAGCATGGTTACCCCTAAACTGTCCTATGCCTCCCTGATTCTCTTCCTAGGACACTTGTTGCTCACCTCCTCCAGGAGGAACAGGCACAAGCACAGGAGGCACTGGCAGGATTGGCAGGGGCACCTCTGCTGGGAATGAGTGACAGGAAGGGAGACAGTAAATSTAGTTTTAAAAAGCAACTTTCTTCTTTCTTTCAAATCCCGCCTCACATGTATTGGTGGATCGTGTGGACACCACTACAGGGAGTGAGATTCCCATCAGGAGAAGGAAGCCCTCAATGGAAAACCTGCAGGTCAGACTGGTAAGGGTGGCAGGGTTTGCAAAGCTCTGCTGCCTTCAGCTTTGACTGGAGCGTGTGGCAGTGGCACCTTCTCATTTACRCCCTGCCTTTGTGCCAGCCAGGGGATGCTGCTCTCCTCGCTCCCTGGCTCCATTTGGGAAAAGAGCCATAGCCTCTCCACTCCTCCTGCCCAATAAAACCCCTCACAAACCTCTTCCCTCCTGCATAATGGAGGTTTTTGTGCCTGAATCAATGAGTCTTCTCTCCAGAAGTGATAAAACTTGTACATATTAATGCTAATCAAACTCAAACGTGCACGCTGCACCCCAGCTGAGTTTTGGACATTTCTCTGCATTTCTGACCTGCCTGTTGGTAATCTGCTTTTGCTGGATTCCAAGAATCTTCCACAGGAGGTGTCACCATCTCAGTTACTCACTTCCTCTCAGACGTTTTCATAGAAGGAATGAGTTTACCCACTGAGTCAGCTGGGGCAGAGAAAGGGGAACTCTTGCTAGAAGGGCTGTGTTTGCTCCTCGCTGTTACACTGCCAATGCCCAGGCAGGACAGCTGCTGTGAGCATTCCAGCAGGGATGATCCCTCATCYTCCTCCAGCTCCCCTTGTACTGGTTTTGGGACAAACCCGACTCAGCAGTGCACCAATTCAGATAATTAAATGAGCAGAAAATTACACCTCCAAGAAGRTGAATCCTTTGCTGCTCCATGGGGTCTCCCATTCCTCACGGGGATCAGAAAAGGCACCTAGAGGGCTGTTTTCACACCATATTGTTATTCCCACCTGTTTCCCTGGGCATCACTCCAGTTGGCTCTCTCCCTCTGCTTTCCAGGAGGTCAGAGAGAGTCTTCCACGCTCCTGTRGGAAGCCCGTGGGAGGCAGCTGGGATGCTGAGGGCACATATACACCTGGAGAGCCAGAGAGCCCCATGCTTGGTCCTGCTTTGGATTAAAACCCTAGCTCTTGCTGCTCAGGGGCTCGGGTTTCTCCTTGAGCAGGGCACAAAAGCCTCCCTCCCACTGCTGCAGTTACGTAATTTTCTGGGGAAGTTTCGCTAAAGGCACAAGGACTGAGTCTTGCTACATTTTTACGACATACACATCATGTCACTGGTAGATGGGGCAGAGGCAAAGYAGTTCCAAAAATGCTCGAAAACCGCATGTGGAGCAGCCAGCTCCAAACCTGTGAATCAGCAGCAGGTCAGAGTCCCGCTGTCACCGTGTGCCGTGCGCTCAGCTCGGCGCTGTGCTCCCTGCGGTGCTCCGGRGCCAGTGACGCTCCGCTGGCCACAGAACAGCTGGGCAGGAGCGATGTTGGGCTGTGCAGGAGCTGCCTCTGCCGTCAGGGACTGCTGCGGCACTACCACTGCTCCGGGAGCCCCGTCCGTGGGCAGATCCATGTGCCTCAGCAGTGGGACTCCGCACTGGGACGATGCAGTGGGGTCGGCCCGAGGGTTTCCCAGCTCTGCCCTGGGCCCGATTTCAGCCCCGCACCCGGGCGAGCAGGGCCCGGCCCCGCTGTGCCTGCCCGGAGCTGTCTGCAGGAAGCCGCTCCGCAGCCACAGAGCTGCTCCTCACCGGGCACCGAGGCCTCAGCCCAGCGCTCACCCCGGGGCTCTACAGCCCCACATTCGGCCCCGAGGAACCACCCCGCTGACAAAATCCACGGCTTCTTGCGTGAGATCCGCAGAAGCAAAAGCCGAGCAGGCGAGGAGTGGCTGCCCGAGATGAGCAGGAGCGCAAACCCGCCGTGTCAGAGGCAGCGCTGCCCAACTTCCCCATCCCGGGGCTGACGGTGCGAGCGAGGCTACTTCCTGCCGGCTCTGTGACAGGGGCAGGGCGAGCCACAAGAACGGGCACAGGGAGCCGGAGAGGCCGAGCTGTGCCACAGGGAAGGACAGGGACAGGGGACAGATCCACAGGGGCATCCCACGTCCCGCTCCCACCGCGCCATGTCCCTGGTGGAGACGATCCGGCTGTGGCAAGAAGGCGTGTGTGCCGCGGACAGGAAGGAGTGGAGCGCTGCCCTGGATGCCTTCACGGGCGTGCAGAACCCCCCTGCCAAAATCTGCTTTAACATCGGCTGCATCCACCTTGTGCTGGGGCGGCTGGYGGAGGCGGAGGAGGTAAGGAACAGCCTCGAGGGCACTCAGCCTCTCGGAGCTGTCAGGTACACGGACTTGGCGGGGAGGGAGGAATTCAGGATCAGGTCTGAGGGATGGATTCGGGAACTTTTAAAGCTGTGAGGAAGTGGGGCAGTCCCAGGCTGCCAAAGCTGTTCTGCCAGCGGATCAGAGGTGAGGCAGCAGCAGCAGCGGGGCACGGCTCACTGCCCACCCTTCCAGCTGGTGACCGTGCTGGCAGATGGCCCCAGCTCAGAGCCCCCAGGAGCCTGCTAGAGGCTGTCCCTCACRCAGTGCTGCAGAGACACAGCCCACAGTGCCCAGCTCAGGCTGCTTGGCTAAGCTACACCTGCTTTAGGCCCTCAGCTTTCTAAAGGTGTCCCCATTTTACCCCCCTTTTGCCCYGCTCTTCCCTCTGCAGGCGTTCACCCGGAGCATCGGCTGTGACAAGCACCTGGCAGTGGCTTATTTCCAGCGGGGAACCGTGTCCTATCGGAGGCAGAAGTGAGTGGAAGGGTTTAAAGTCTCATTTTTGCCACTTAYAAAGATGCCAGCCTTTGGCTGAGGATGGCCCCAAGTAGGTTGGTGCCCCAGAGCCCAAACTGAAACCCCTCTAGGTCAAAGAGGCTCTTGTTCCTCAGTATGCAGTCCTGGGGTTAACACGATCCTCAGAGCCTCTCCCCTGCCCTGTGGAGTCTGAAACACTGCAAGGGTAGAGGGGAGACCCGACTGARCTCACCAAATCAGAGCACAGGCGTAGAGGCAGGCAGGCTGCCACCATGAGCTGGTGACATCCTCGTCCTCTGCCCCGCAGCCATGCAAAGGCCATAGAGGATTTCAAAGAAGCGCTGGCCCAGCTGCGAGGCAACCGACTCATCGACTACAAGATCCTGGGGCTGCGCTACCGGCTCTTTGCCTGTGAGGTGAGACCCTTCTGATCCCCAAGGGCTGTTCTCCAGAACAAGAAATYCAAAAGGAGACAGCCAGCCTCTCTTGTGCTGTGTGAAACCCAAGCTTGTGGGTGCAGTACTGCTGCCCTGCTGTGCCTTCCTGTCCCTGCCTGGCAGTGCCCCMGCTGCTCCAGGAGATCCTGTCCTTRCTCCCACCCTGTGGCAGATTCTCTACAACATTGCACTGGTGTTCGCCACCATGGAGAACTGGGCCAAGGCTGAAGAGCACCTGACCCTGGCTATGAGCATGAAGAGTGAGCCCCAGCACAGCAAGATCGATAGGGCCATGGAAGCCATCCTGGTATGGAGGAGCAGGTCCCACAGCCCCTCGGGAGAAATCCCACCCACAGCACACACATCCACCTTTAGCAGGACTAAAATGTAGTGGCAATGGATGCTATGGTGGGGGACAAGTTGGTTGGGTCACTGGGGAGGCAGGGATGCAATGAACCGTGGCAGGGTTGGGATTGGGCTGTGACAGGGGTGGTTTGGCTTTATGGAGCAGACACCAAGCCCAGGGGTGAAAGGGGCAGTGGTCAGTCCCTGCTCTCACCTCCAGAAGTTCCATGACTTYTCTGTGCTGCAGAAGCAGAAGCTCTGCGAGCTGGCGGCCATYCCTGCAGGGAAGCTGTTCAGGCCGAATGAGAAGCAAGTGGCTCAGCTGGAGAAGAAGGACTACCTGGGAAAGGCAATGGTGAGAGAGAGAGAGAGAGAGCTGTGTTTGTGATTCAGGCCAAGCCTGTGGGCTGAGGGGAGCTGCTGCCTGGTGGGCAGTTCGAGGTAGGGGCTCGTCCCTGCCTCAGGGACACCCCCAGGTGTGGAAAGAGGGGTGGCACACAGTGGGAAACAGGGGCTCTGCGAGAATACAGGAGCTGAGAGCATGTGCCTACTGAGAACGGCCCATTTCCAGTTTGTCTCCTCAGTGAGACACAAGGAACAGTCAGCAATGACTGGGAAGATCCCCCTGGAGCTTCAGCTCGAGCCAARATGTTTTCAGGGCTAGGGTAAAGGGGCTATTTAATGGCACCCACAAACAACCTCCGGTTCTCCCCCTGCTCTGTTTGAAAAGAGTATTTCAGCTCAGGTAAGCRAGCAAGCTTTTCTCCTGTGAGTTTGAAAAATGCAGTCCCTGGGACATAACCCTTGGGCTCAGATCCTGAGAGGCAGCATTCCTTCAGAATAGGAAGCAGGCATGGGGGAATCAGCTCCTTGAGTGCTGGAAACATGCACAGAAACATGTATCAGCTTTCTAAATCTCCTTTAAGGGCACCTGTGGGAGATACGGGCTTGAGCTACACTTCCCTTCAATCTTTGTGATTAAAACAGAAAGGAAAACTTTCAGGTTATAATGCCTCGAAATGCAGAAACAGCCAGGGTGGCAGCAGAGAACTTATTACAGCTGAGAGGGAGGTTTTGGTGCCAGAGGCACTCAGGCTGTTGTCCAAGATGCTCAGCCTGAAATCACAGCCCCTYCTGAGCCTGAGGCATCCTGAGGAGCTTGGTTGGCTGACAGCAAAGGAGGAAGGTGGGCATCAGAGAGAGATCTGCAGGCACTGAGTCACTGTCTGTCTGTCTGTCACTCCAGGTGGTGGCATCTGTGGTGGACAAGGACAATTTCTCAGGATTTGCCCCACTGCAGCCACAGGTGAGGCTCCATCAGTATCAGCCTGCTCAGTGCAGGATGCCGTGGGGTGGCTCTCACCAGGCTGAGAGCTCTGACCCTCGTGGGGAGCACATGGCACCCTCAGTACCCTCAGCTCTGCCCCCGCCCTGGGGAAGAGGCAGGCGCTGCTCCCTCCCAGCAGGAGCTCCCCCAAACCCACCTCGGGCGTGGTGAAATAAAGCTGGTTCCTGCATGGGGCAGGGGTGGCAGCTCTGGCCAGGGGGATGTTCTGACCCTCCCAAAGGATTCCTTAGGGACCATCTGCCAAAGCCTAACTGGGGAAATAGCAGCAGTTCTGCTCTCGCTTTCCATCTTCCTCCTGCCCATTCCTGAACTCCTTTGCATTTCCCGGGCCATTTCCCAGATGATGTAGTGGCATCTACCCATCCCTAAAGGTGCCAAGAGTTTTTCCTGGAGATTTTGGGGAGGAAATGGGGAAGCACAGCACAGCACTGTTGCATAGGATAAATGACATCCTTCTCAGTGCAGACAGATGTTGACCATCTCAATCTTTTGTGAGCTGAAACTAAAATCAGGAGTAAAAAGAGGACTGTGCCTCTGAAAACCAGCTTGTGGAAGAATATGGAAACTGTTCCTTAGAAGTAGTAAAGCCAGTGATATTCCTCATGGCACTTAAGGCACCAGCATGTGGAGRAGGGAACAATGCTGGGGTGGGGGCAGGTGTGGTAAAAGGCTGCAGAACATTCCTGTAAAGCAAACAAAATCCTGGTATTTTGTCTTCCTGCTGGCAGGCCTCTGGTCCTCCACCCAGGCCCAAGACCCCAGAAATCCTCAGGTGAGTTGGATGGAGGACGRGTAACACCACTAACCCACACAGCTGGGCACAGCCCCATCCTGCACTCGCACAGCAGAGTGTCCAGCCAGCACCCAGAACTCGGGGGAAGGGGGAACCCAGGGCAGAAATATAGAGGGAGAGCTTTGATGGAAAACAGCAGCAGTGCCAGCATTTCTGCCCCGTGCCCTGCTCCCCACCAGGGCCCTCCAGGGGCAGCCGCACCGYGTCATGTATGAGTTCATCCCTGAGACCGCCGAGGAGCTGCGGGTCCTGCCTGGAAACATCGTCTTTGTGCTGAAGAAGGAGAAGGACAACTGGGCCACCGTGATGTTCAATGGAAAGGTACCGAGAGTGCTGGGCACTAGGGACAGGCAGCAGGTGTCAGGTTCTGCAGAGGCAGGGCCTTGCCAGCAGTATCCAAATCAGTTTCTGGCTCAAGTCTCTTTATGCCCATCCTGGCAACCTACCCAGCCTGCAGAAACTAAAATTCAAGCCTTAGGAACCCTTCTGGATGCAGGGGAGGGTGGGGACAYACCCAGCCGTGTCCTCCAGCAGTGGGTTGTCTTCCTGACAAGCTCTGTGCTCTTCTCTCCTTCCCCTGTAGAGAGGGATCGTCCCCTGCAACTTCCTGGAGCCCGTGGAACTCCACAACAAGCTGCACATGCAGGTGAGGAGGCCCAAGGGGGAGGTGGAGTCCTGGGGAGGGCAGATCCCTACACACTCACCCAGCCCCTGCCCGCAGTAGGACCCGTATCCTATGACTCGCTCTGCCTCATGATGCTGGGGCTGGTTCTCATGGCTCACAGTCACCTCATCATGAGATCAGAGAGCTGCAAAATCYGCGCTGGCGGCACCCTGGTGGTGGGTGGTGATGCTGGGGACATAATGGGTAGCCAAGTCACCCCTCCACAGTTCAAAACCCCAAACAGAATTCAGGAAAAGAACAGGTTGGAGGGGGTGCAGCAGCCCCCCAGCCCCCAGGGAGGGTGGGATGGAAAGCATCACCTTCTTCCCACGGCACAGGAGGGACCCCCTGAGGAAGATGAGATCCCCGAGTCACCCATGGGCACCGCGCCAGAGAAGCCACGGCGGCCAGCACCAGGTCAGTGCGGGAGCAGAGGGACGGCGACACGGGGTGACACCGCCAGCAGCAGGGACAGGGGCACGGGGTGACACCGCCAGCAGCAGGGAC